CTTTTAAAGAATTGTTACTGATATAGGGAGACACTCAGGGTATAGTGTTATATGAAGAAAAAAATCCTGGTTAGTATAGCAGTTGGTAAAAGAAAAAAAAAAATGAAGCCAGTTATTAAAATAATGTGTAGCTGGGTGTGGTGGCTCACACCTATAATCGCAGCACTTAGGGAGGCAGAGGTGGAAGGATAGCTTGAGCCCAGGAGTTCAAGACCTGCCTGGGCAACGTAGCAAAAAAGGAAAAAAAAAAAAAAAGTACAGTACATGCACAGAACTAGAAAGAAATACACTACAAGGTTAATAGTAGTTTAATTTTTAGGCATGGAATTAAAGGGATTTTTTTTTCTTATACTTTTCTGTATTTTCCAAATTTCCATAACAGATCTTACTACCTTTCTAATCGGGGGAAAGACCTTTTGTGTTTTGTTCTTGAGTGAAACAAAGAGCTGGGATTGAACCAGCCCTTCTAAGAACATTCGTTGACAGGATCTGAGGAGTGAAAACTCTTACTGGGATTAGAGCGGGGATGAAGCAGGGATTAGGGCAGGGATCTGATCGGGGCGGGGCTCTAGCAAACGTACCACTCCTCTCTCCCAGATGACGCTCATGCGGTCCTGCACGCCACTCACTCCATGTGGGATCTTGGTGAAGTCTTCCTTGCCCATAGCTTTCTGTTTTGTGGTGAAAGGCCGGTGATCTGATGCCACGATGTTCAGAGTGTCACTGGGTAGAGAAAAAGAGGTGACCAGTAAGGGGAGGGGAGGGGAGGAACCTAGAGGGTGGGGATAGATATAGGGAAACTCCTCAGTGTGGGAACCAGGCAAAGCTGACTCCAAGTTCAGCTCTGCTGCTTAGGCCATGTGGCCTCTCATGAGTTACTTCATCTATGTGAACCTCAGTTTACCCATCCACAGAATGAGTGTGGCACAGTCTGTGTCACAGGTGACTTCAGTGAGATCCTTGGGATGGCAATGTTTAAGAGTGAAGAAAGCAGAGAAAAGCCGAACTTAGAGTCTAGCTGAAGTGAGATGGTGGAGGTGGTTCTACTCTCATGGAATTGTATGCCGATTCCCTCTCATCAGCTCTCCAACCCCACCTGCTGACAAGCATTCACAAGGTCAGTGTTAAGCTTTGTTGAATAACTTGGACTCATAGCCTTCCTTGGGTGTGGGGATTCTAATGGACCAGAAGGGGAAGGAGGGACGAGCTAGAAGCCTGACTTAATAGACCGAGAGTGGTATGCAAGTCACTCAGTTCTTCCTCAATGCTGTTCATGACTACGGTCCTCACACATATATTAAGGCTGTCCTTGGGCCAGGTGCTCATGCCTGTAATCCCAGCACTTTGGGAGGCTGAGGCAGGTGGATCACTGGAGGCCACGAGTTCGAGATCAGCCTGGGCTACATGGTGAAACCCTGTATCTACTAAAAATACAAAAAAATTAGCCGAGCGTAGTGGTGGGCACCTGTAATCCCAGCTACTCCGGAGGCTGAGGTCAGAGAATTGCTTGAACCCGGGAGGTAGAGGCTGCAGTGAGCCAAGATGGCCCCACTGCACTCCAGCCTGGGGGACAGAGGGAGACTCTGTCTGAAAGGAAGAAAAAACAAAGCCATCCTCTATCCAAGGCTGTGGGTGGCTAAGGCACAGGCAGGCCTTCGAGGGGCTACTGGGCCAGAGAAGATGTAGGGAAGAACAGGGAGAGAGGGCTCATGGCAGCAGATCCTCTGCCCAGTGAGGGAGGCAGGCAACTGGCCTGGATTCAGAGATCTCTGCCCGGATTCAGAGATCTCTGCAGGCCAAGGGCTCAGAGGCAGTGAGGGGCGGAGGAGAGAGAATGTCCACGCAAACCAGGCTAGGGCAACCTCAGGAGGAAATGGCTTTGGGGGGGCAGGGAAAGGCCTGGCTGGAGCAGGGGGGTCAGGTGGGGGAAGGAGATGACTGCTGGGACCACACTGCGGGTGCCCTGAAGGTCAGGGGCAGTGGTCCCATTGTACTCTGTAGGAGGCCCCAGAGCCTTGTGAGTGCCCGTGGGCCATCTAAGATGCCCACTCCAGGAGACTCCAGGGGCAGAAAGCATTATCTGACCTGGTGAGGAAGCATATTCTTAAGGCTCTCAGACAATGGCCAGTTAGCTACAGAGGGCTGTCTCCACAGGGGACTTGGCAGGGCTCATCAGTCTCAGTTCCCACCCAATGACTAATGTCTTTGGCCAAACCCGCGGTGAAGATGGCTCGCTCTTCCCTGGGCCAGAGAGGCTGCTCTGGTTCTTGCAGAGACTCTTTGCAAGAGATTCTCCCGCAGAGCCCCAAGGCTCCCCACACTCTCTGGACCTGCAGAAGCCCCCACAGATGAATGGAATCTTTAGGGTTTCCTTTCTCCTGAGGGGCCCTCTGGATACCTGAGCAGGGCTCAGGGCAGAAGATGCCCATTGCAGTCATGAAGGGCAGGTCAGGGACCCTGAGAGCAACAGGCTCAACTCCTGCTCTTTAACCAGCAAGTCTTCCTGAGCACCCAGCTTTCTGAAAAGGCTCCTACACAAAGGTGCCCACTAGGCAGCCGTGAATGACGGTAGTTACATTCTAGGAGGCCCTCTGAGCTCTCTCAGTGCTGCCCTGAATCTGGAAGATAGGAAGCCCCCATCCAAACCATTTAAAGTTTAAAACATGACTGGCTTTGCCAAATACTTTAAAATTTTATATGATCAAATGAAAAAATTTCTAAGAAGCTAGATTTAGTTTGAAAAATTGGCCGGGCACAGTGGCTCACGCCTGTAATCCTAGCATTTTGGGAGGCCGAGGTGGGTGGATCAGTTGAGGTAAGGATTTTGAGGCCAGCCTGGGTAACATGATGAAAAAATACAAAAAATACAAAAATTAGGCTGGGCACGGTGGTGCAGGGTGGCTCATGCCTGTAATCCCAGCACTTTGGGAGGCTGCACTCCAGCCTGGGAGAAAGAGTGAGACCCTGGCTCATAAAACAAATAAGCAAACAAACAAACAAACAAACAAACGAAAAACTAGTCAGGCGTGGTGCTGCACATGTGTAGTCCCAGCTACTCAGGAGGTTGTACCTCTCCTTTCCAGCCTGAGTGACAGAGCCAGACCCTTTCTAAAAAAAAAAAAAAAAAAAAAAAGCCAGATTTTAAATAAAGGACAAATCGTTATATCTATAGATTGAACTTTTTTTATTCCTTTACAGCCTAACAAATCACAAATCACATCCTAAAGTAGATAATTATGAAATAGCTCATATTTTCTTATGGGAATAATAATTGGTGTCTGGATTTTCTGTCAAGTATTTTGCATCATATAAATTATAACCAATAATGTATTACAAAAGCAAAATTATAGTCATCATCAATTTCTATAAATAATTAAAATATTAAAATTATGCTCCAAATCCTATAAAGTAGCACCCATTTACAATATGCACTGATTAAAAAGGGATTCAGACTATTCTCATAACACAAAAACTACATTTCTACTTAAATAAATAGAATCAATTTAAATAATTAAAATACATTTGACAAAGTAGGCTAGATGTAAAAACTTAAATTATTCAATGATACTTATTCCCCCCAGTCTATTTGAATTTGTGTGGGTTTGGGTGCTGTAATTTGGGTGGGTTGAGGCACTTATTATCTTTTTTGTTCTTTCAGTAAATTTGCTTGTAGCAAGCAGGGGTGTTTCAAAAGATTCTTGACCTTGGAACCAAGCCCACATTATTATACTGGAGTCTTGGTAATTGTTTCTTTTATTGTATTGCTGCTGATGAAAAGGAGGTTGATTCGTCTCAAAACAAGCTTTTTTTCTTTTTTTTTTTTTAATGAAGTCTTGCTCTTGTTGCCCAGGCTGGAGTGCAGTGGCGCGATCTCGGCTCACTGCAACCTCCACCTCCTGGGTTCCAGCAATTCTCCTGCCTCAGCCTCTGGAGTAGCTGGGATTACAGACATGAGCCAGCATGCTCAGCTAATTTTTGTATTTTTAGTAGAGACGGGGTCTTACCATATTGGCCAGGCTGGTCTCAAACTCCTGACCTCAGGTAATCTGCCTGCTTCTGCCTCCCAAAGTGCTGGGATTACAGGTGCGAGCCACCACGCCCAGCCAAAATAAGCATTTTTTAAGAGTAAGAGCTGATCTAGCATTTCTCTCTTCATCTTTACCCTCCCTGTTTATTTACATAATGTAAATATGTAAATATTGTAAGAGCTGCCACCACCTGGCACCCACCAAGGCTATGGGACAGAATACAATGACCATCCCCATGCCATGGTGCGTACTGTCCTCCACAGAGGCCACCTTCGCCCACACCCCTATCGACAGCACTCCACTCACACTGGCAAAGCCCCGCACACCCCAACTCTCTATAGGTTGTGAACATAATGGGATGGGAGTGGGAGTCTTCCAGTGGTTGGCAACCAGGACTGAAAGCTAAGGACATGGATGAGACAAGCACCTTATTACCTAAGAAAGCCACCTTCAGTGGGGCTGGTCGCTTCCCTCCACTGCCCCTGCACCATCCTAGAAGAGGCATAGCCCTACCCCGCCCCAGGTCTGGAAAGCAGGACCCTCGTAGGGAGACTGAGGGGTTGGCAGGATGGAGAGTCCTGGCATTCCCTCCCCTCCTCTTTCCTGGGTTGAGTGGGGTTTCCATACCCTCTCCCCACCAGTTCACCCTGAAGACAAGGAGGGCATACTTCAAGAGGTTCACTTGTGGAGAACAGAGCTGAGAGCAGTGGGCACCTGCCTGGGCTGTGGGCTATGGACCCGCCTCTGAGCCACAGGGAGCAGAAAGGCTGGGTGGGCTTCCTCTGGGCCTCAGATACTATAGAAGGTGGTCAGGCATAAGTTGCGGGTCCTTGTTCATAGAGGCATTGCTAGTGCTGTGAGCTGGGAGAGATGCATGCCTGGGTATGGAGAAGAATCCCTCACCTTTTGTCCTAATCCTCCTACCCCAACCCAAGCTGAGCTGGGGATCAGGAAGGGAGGAGATGGAGTCTTAAACTGGATGGAACTTTAATATCCAAAAGTGAAGAGAAAGCAACGTCTTCTCCCCGAGTTTTTTTTTTTTTTTTTTTCAGTTGGAGTCTTGCTCTGTCCCTGGACAGGCTGGAGTGCAGTGGCATGATCTCAGCTCACTGCAACCTCCGCCTCCTGGGTTCAAGTGATTCTCCTGCCTTAGCCTCCCAAGTAGCTGGGATTACAGGTGCCCACCACCATGCCCAGCTAATTTTTTGCATTTTCAGTAGAGACAAGGTTTCACCATCTTGACCAGGCTGGTCTTGAACTCCTGACCTCAAGTGATCCACCCACCTCGGCCTCCCAAAGTGCTGGGATTATAGGCGTGAACCACTGTGCCCGGCCCCTAAAATGTTAATAGGAGAGAGAAAGAAGCTGCAAGCAGTTATTGGATAAAACAAAAACCCTTTCATGATTGGGTCCTGCTGAATTCAGACTGTTCATCAAACCATTTCCTTTAGGTTGGGACTGCATGGGAAAAAGCAGTGTCAGAAAGAGAAGAGCTGGAGAAAGGAGATCTGGAGGAACGGTGTGGGGGAGGGGGAAGGGGGAGAAAGTGCAGAAGAAAAAGGGAAAGGGGAAGGAAAGGAGGAGAAACCCACAGAAGGAGGGATGTACAGACAAGGGGCACACGGGAGCCAACGAGAAGAGGAGAGGTGAAGAAAAGAAAAAGAAAGGACCCCTACATTCTAGGGTAAGTCACAGGCCACATTCTGCAGCTCCCCACTGGGCTTTAGAGTAAGAGATCAATGTCCTTTGAAATTCCGAATAGCCACTGTTCACAGTTCTATATGTGCTCTTCAGTCTTACACTTCAGAAGCTCTCACTCCACATCAAGCGGTCATAAAGTCTCAATAGGATGGCAATTATCTGATGGGCTCAGAGAAGGTAAGAAAAGCACAATCATCCTGTGGGCACAATGAAATCAAACCTAGCTCAGATTTGTTTCCTGGGCCCTCTATGACGTCTTCCTAAAGATGTACACATCCCTGCAATGTGCTGCTGAAACGCCTTACTTGGCCAGCAGGCTCATGAGGTAGGTGGAGGTGTTGGTGTCCAGTCTCAGGGGAGGCACCGTGACGTAGGCAGCCGCGTGGGACCAGTCCTGGTGGTAGTAGTGTAAGCCTGTCAGCGTGGCATGTGCAGTGGTGGTCTCAGCCAGCACAACTTTCCCTGGAAGAAGAAAGGTCAGAACTATAACCAGGAAGCCACCAAACCTGAGCGATCGCTGGTGTGTGCCTCTCATTTTACAGGTGAAGGAGCTGAGGTCAGAGACAGGAAGGAACCTGCCCAAGCTCACAGGGTTTTTGAGGGCACAGCTGGGTTCAAGCCCAGAGAGCTTCCCTATTCTCCTGCTGACTTAGGCAAGGAGAACAGAGGGACATGGGCACCGAGGCCTGGTAGCACCAAGCGGCACTTTCAGGAGTCTGGTTTGGCCAGAGCACAGGTGTGTGCAGGGTGCTGTTGGCAGATGGAGCTTGACAGTGGGTGAACAGGCACGCAGGGCTGTGAATGCCACGCTAAGGAGCAGTCTAGACTGTTTTTTGGACAGGCAGGTGCTGTGAGCAGCTTCAAGGGAATGGTTGGGGTAGGACAGGGAGGGCTGTAGCAGGGCTGGAGGACAGGGAGAAAGGGGGTGGGAGCAGTCACCAGGCTGGGGCGACAGTCTAGGTGAGACCTCCAAGGGGCTTCAGTGAGGGGAGAGGCAGGCAGCAGGATCTAGAGGGCAATACAGTTGAAGGCCGGGAGGCCCTTGCTTCTAATCTATTATAGTTGAAGGCCGGGAGGCCCTTGCTTCTAATCTATTATAGTTGAAGGCC